CCAAGAAACTGAAGGAAAATAATTAGTGTGGTATATGGTCTAGCAATTCTAATTTTTGGTATCTATCCTAGAGAAATGCTAGTACACATACATAAAGACATGTCTGAGGATGTTCCCTGAAGCAATGTTTGTAAAACTGAAAAACTGGAAGCAATCTACATTTCAAATCAGTAGAGTAATGGATGAAGTGTGATATATTCATACAAAAACTCTACAGCAGTTAAAAGGGAGCCAGATTTATATCTGTCAACATGGATACATCACAGGAATATATTTTTTAAATAAAAAAGCCGTTGCATAACTATTCTTACCATATTTTTATGTTAATACATTTACATATGTATGCATGTACTACATTGTGTGTTTATATAATACATTTTCATAATGCATTCACACTCAAAATATTATTACATATTTTCTGTAGATAAAATGCATGTAAATATTGAAATGGCCTTAAAATGCATTAAATTACACACTGAGCAAGTGTATAAGAGTAGTTAACTCTGAGGGATAAGGAGTACAGCAACATGATTGAAGAAAAAAATGTCAAGTGTATACTAATTTTATCTGTATTGTTCTAATTTTTAAGAGAAGAATGTGTTCAAATGTTTCATATGTAATTTTTTTAAATAGATTAAAAAAAGATAATGAAATCATGCCAAATTGTTCAGGGTTAATTTCTTTTTTTCCTTCCAGTTTTATTGAGATATAATTGCCATACAGCACTGTAAAAGTTTAAGGTGTATAGCACAATGATCTGACTCACATACATCATGAAATGATGACCACAGAAAGTGTAGTGAACACCCATCATCTCATATAAATACAAAATATAAAAGAAAGAAAAAAAATTTTTTTCCTTGTGATGAGAACTCGACTCACTCTTAAAAACTTTCATATATAACACACAGCAGTGTTAATTATATGTATTATGTTGTATATTACATCCCTACTACTTATTTATCTTATAACCAGAAGTTTGTATCTTTTGATCACCTTCATCCAATTCCCCCTCTCCCCACTCCCTGCCTCTGGTAACCACAAATTTGAATTTTTTTCTCTATGAGTTTATCGTTTTTGAAATATAATTGAACTTAAAACTAACAAGTTATGGGAGAGTTCAGCACCCCAGCTTGTGGACATATTGGGATGAAATGTCACTCTCGGTTCCTGATACCAAAAGACTCACTTATTTTATAATTTATGAAGCTGATTTCAACAGATTTAGCACCATGCTGACAATTACCAACTTTCTTTCCTTTAGGAGGTTAACAGGGTGTTAGGGGAAATGTTTGCTCTCCCCCCAGAGGCTCCCAACCCAGCCTGCGCAAGGAGGACCATCAATTCATTCAACAAAGACTTGAAGTTGAGCGTAAATTCCTTCTGGAGTGGCTTAATATTGTTTTCCCAATTTATATCCTCCAAAGAAATGAAGGCCCGTTTAGCTCTAGGCTTTCTATCATGACACAGCACAAAGAACACCTGAAACCTAATATTAATTCCTAATTATTTTTTTAATCTTTCAGTTGGTTTTTGTATCCAATAAATGGAAATTTGAGAAAGAGACAAATCTGTTGAGACATTGATCCAGAATATAAAAATGAGTTATGAAAGAGTGCTTAGAGCAGCAGCTGCTATATGGTATATGGTAAATGCTGTTAGTATTAGCAATTACTACAAATATGATAGCTATTATTACAACCATTTCCAATACTAATATTGCTACACCAAGAAGAAGCAGATATTTTGATTGTTTTCAACTTTTGTATGATGTTAGAAACAAATTTTTAAAAATTAAGAACTGTAGAGATAAGGTATTCTTACCTCTAGCAGAACTTGTTTTATGGGGTTTCAGTTCCCTGTGGGAAGGGTGCTCATTCTCTTCAGAAACCCTCATCCCTGCCTAGATCTTCCCCATCAGTTCCTTAACTAGGTTGATGAGAAAGTGTGTATATATGTGTGTGCATGTGTGCTGGGAGCGGGGAGAGGGGGGAGGGTTGTTGCTGGGACTCAAGGACTTAGGTTTTAGCATCTGACTTCTTCCCTCCCTTTCAAGCCAGGAGGGTTCACTTTTCTACTTTATGAATTTACCAAAAGCAAAAGGAATATTCCCTCTCACTTGGTATATAAACCAGAGGAGAGTATTCCTGTTAACCTGTGAGGGTTCTTGTTAGAACTGGAAGAGAAAACTGTCTCAGTCAGAGATGGCCTCAGCGGTGTCCCATTCCAGGCGTCGTGCCCCCACCTTCTTGCTATTGCGGCATCATTATCCAAAGCTTGGAGTGAAGCCAAGAAAGAGAACATAGAATATGATATTCTACTGGTGAGGTGAAATATATTTATAATCCTTGACCCTACCCCTGTCTGCCAGGTTTTTGTTTGTGTCAGTTTTAAAGTTTCTGCAGAATTGGAAGGCCAACACTTAAAATGGCCCCTGGTCACTTATTCCTCGGTCAATAAAAAGTTAAATACAGTTGCCTTGCCACGTCTATTACCTAGCAAGGATGGCACGATGAATTGAGCTGACGACTGGACTTTAAATCATGGATGTGTAGGATTAACCGTTTTGGCTCACTTACTCATTCATTAGCATCAGATTCTGGTTAATTGATATTCTATTTCCAAAGACCTCCTTCTGCCTCTTTAACACAACCCCTTGCAAGACAGTTTTCACCAGTGGAATTAAAGAAACCAGACGTGGCTGGTTAATAAATAAATGTGTATACCTTTGTGGGTGTATGAAATTGTTAATATTAGGAAGCACTGAACTAGTATAACCTGCCAGTGTCTCTCTGGTTCATGCTAACTTCCAGTCATAGAGTCCAACAAAAGAGGATTATTTAAATCTGTTTGATGGAATACTATATACTACACTATACTATATAGTTACCTAAAACTGTGTTACAGAAAAATATTTAATGGCATAGAAAGATAATAAGTGAGAAAAAGGGGGTTAAATAACAGTATATATAATTTGTACAGTATAATCCTTTTTTTTTTTAACAAAAGGGCCATAACATACATATACAAGGAAAAAAGATATCAAAACATACACCAAAATCTTAACAATGATTAGTCTGGGTAAAGGAATTATGAGTAATTTTCCCCTTTGTGTATGTTTTTCTCTGTGTTCCCCAAATTTCTGCATTTAACACAAATTGTGTTTGCGAAACCCAGTAACATTTTCCTTTTCAAAGGATGGTGGTAGAGTATGACTGGCTGACTGTCTAGACAAGAACTCATAGTGTGTGTGCATTCGTGGGGTCATCACAAGTTCAGGGGCTCTTTCCCAACTTTCAAGTTTATGAGCACAATTTGAGTAGTTCACTAAAGAACTAATGATGATATAAAATGATTAGATATGTTCCTTGCTCTCAACTCCCATTACACCTACATAGGTTTCCCTAAATGTAATCATTTCTTCAAAGAATTTGACTCTTCTAAGGCTCTTGAAGCAGGGTACCAAGTCACTTTTCAAAAAATTTTTACTAGTAATGTAGCAAATGACAGGATAGTGCCCTAAACACTATTTTTTAAATTATTTCCTGCCTTTCGAACAGTTATAACGGTATTCTACTTTATTTTAATTTGTATTAAAATTTTCTAATAAGTTCACTTTTAAAAAAAAACTTATTCTACTTTTCTTTGGTTACAACTTTTAGAGAGCGCAGATTTCAGTTGTGTGAGAGGAAGAAGCAGGAGGCTGGGAAAGGAGCATTTGTCCAGGAGTCAGGAATCAGGGTTCTACTGCAATAACTTTCTCAATGGCCTCCCCACTCCCATGCTTGACCCTGTCGAATCAGCAGAGTGCTCACTTAAAAACTTTAATCAGATCACGTCCCTCTCCTGCTTAAAACCATCCAATGGCTTCCCATTGCTTTTAAAATAAAATGCATGATGGGCAAGGCTCCCCTAAGCAACCTTGCTCACTTCACTGCAACCACGCTGCCTTCCCTTCGTTCCTCATTCCACTGTTTCCCACCTCAGAGTCTCTGTCCTTGCCTGGAATGCTCCTTTCTCATTTCCACACCTGGCTCGGGTTCCTTCAGGGTTTAGCTTAAATATCACTTCCTCTGACACGCCTTTCCTGCCTCTTCATCACATTCATTGTTTTTTCTTCCTGGGACCTATCACCGCCTGAAATTATCCTGATCATATGTAGGTTATCTTGTTCTGTTCCTGTCTCACACACCAGAACGTAAGCTCTGAGACATGCAGCATTGACTGGATCCCTTAGTACCACAGCCCAGCCTCTCGTAGATTAGACATTATTAGTTGAGTGAGTGAAGACCTACGTAGACCTCAGGGAACCTCATCTTTGTTAAGAGAGTTAACTAGATGAATGTGAGTAGGTTTAAGTGGAAGCACCCTCTCAATGACGCCAGCGGGGATTTCTAGAAACCTCAGGAGAGGAAGTCTTAATAGAGAATTAGGGAGCGAGGGGGTGGAGAGTCAATGCGGAGAACCTTTGCGGTGTAGTCGTTCCATCTGTTGGAGAGCGCAGGAGACCTTAGCGCGATGTTTTAGGGGAGAAGCAGGCATAGAGCCATTTGAAAAAGTCTTTTTTTTTCTTTTGTGTTTTTTTTTGGACACGGAGACCTGATTGAAAGCAAAGTAAGAAGACTCGCCGGACTCCAAACCGGCGAGTCCCGGCGCACTCGGGACCCCGGCCCACCCAGGTACCACCGCAAACGCCGCCCTCCGTCCCCTCCCGGATCTGTTTCCTCGGAGGGCTGAAAAAAGGCTTTCAAAATACTAAATGCAACTGACATCTTTTTCTGAGTTAAAAACAAACAAAACCTCTGAAAATACAGAGCAGAAAATCCCGTGTCCGCTTCCCGCGAGTTCCCAAGCCCCACCGCTCTGTTCTCGCCGGCTCAGGTTAGGCCCTGCATAGGGCGGTGGGAGGGGCGGGATATGCCCGCTGACGCTACGGGCCTGGACTGCGCAGGCGCGGGGCGGGCTCGCGGGGGAGTCGCGCGCCGCTCACTTCGCGCGGGAGTGGGGCGCTGGAGCGTCGGAGCTGCGGGTCTGTGGGAACGGAAGCCACAGCCAGGAAGAGAGGCAGCCAGGATGGCGACTACGAGCAGGAAAACGTCCACCCCAAGTCCCCTGGCCCCCAAGAGAGCTTTCCCGAGAGATCCCTCGTCGGAAGTCCCGAACAAGAAAAAGAGTCCGGCCCCACCGGCGGCGCTGCCGCCACTGCCGCTGCAGTCGTCCGGGCCTTTCGTTGAAGGCTCTATCGTCCGCATCGCGATGGAGAACTTCCTGTGAGTGGCCGGAGGCCGTGCCGCGGCGGGGGAGGCGAGCGGGCCCGCACACTGGGGGCGCGGGCTGAGTGCCTGCGGGGCCGGGTGGGTGGATGTGTGCCTGGCTTGTGCGTCTGACAGTAAATTCTTGCCGGGATTGCCGTGAGGATATTTACTTGTGGGCCGTGGAGATCGACGTGTGTGTTGATGCGGTAGTTGTGTGTGTAGTGTGTTACGGTTTTTAAATTCTCAATGCCAACGTTGCTTGAAGGCGTCATATGGCGGGCCTTGGAAGTAGTAGGAATTAGATCTCCGCCCGCTGGGAGTCACGGCCTAGAAAGGTAGGACATAATCTGTAATTCACAAAACTATGCGTTCTGGGAACTTAGAGGCTGCAACAGTTAAATCAGAGTGGCAATGATGCTGCGGCAGATACGTGAGGAGTAGGCAGTTGCCAGGTGGACAAAGATGGTGAAGGTTGTTCTGGATGGAGGTTGAAATGTACAGGAACACTGAGCCTTACTTTCAGTTGTTGCGCCTCCCAACAGACCCTTGACTCCTTTAAATCTGGCTTTCTTCCCTGGTTCCTTTCTTACCCTTCAGGCAACTAACCATAATACTCACTTTAGAATTAAGTAAACATGTTCTAACACAGATACCGTGTATCCGTTTAGCACCTTGGAGTTCGTTTGATCAAGGCCTGTTTTTTTGTTTTTTTTTTTAAGCTTTCACAGAGCGGTGTAGGGAAAACAATTGCAGTAACAATAGGAACATTTTTTTTTCCAAGCATCTATCATGTGCCAGGTATAGAAGTAGGTGCTTTATTTACACAGTGCCCTCATTCATTCCTCATAACAACTCTTTATATCACCTCCATTGATAAGCTTAGAGAGGTTAATTTGCCGACGTTTACACAGCTAATAAGTAGGTAAATTGCTGTTTGAATCCAAATCAGGAAAGATAAATATAATTAAATGAAGTACCTACCATAATAATGTATATGCGTCATGATGCCCTGCGGGCACAAAGGATGAAATGATTAATTTCATCCACAGTTGTGAGAAGGGCTTTGTACTGAGGGTTATGAAAGTCTTAAAAGAAGGGAAGAGCAAGGAACTTCCTGAAACAGTTTGCTATATTGGGGAGATTTCCAGTATTTTAGTATGGCTAGAACATAGGATGTGAACTAGTATGTGGACAGAGTAGATACTGAAGATGTAGACAGATGTTGAGGGTCTGTGTTTCCTTTGCTGAGGAATTCCAACTTTATCCTGTAGGCAGCCAGGATGCATTTTAAGCAGGGCATGACATATGATTTATATTACTTTGGAAGCAGTGTGAAGGATGATTTAGAAAGGGTGCAAGATTGTAGGCAAGAAGGCTTTTACAATATGAAGGCAGAGATGATTAGGGTTTGAACCTAGCAGTGGGAAGTAGGATCAGAAAGAAGAGATTTGACAGGATTTGGCTGCAGATTAATTGTGAGGCATGAGGGTAAGGGAGGAATGGAGCATTTTTCTCAAGTCTCTGCCTTGGCAAGTTGGTCATATATAGTGCTATGCAGAAGAAGGAGCAATTTGGGGAGGATAATAATAAATGCCTTTTGGATCCTGTGAATTGAAGTTTCTTGTGGGGCATCTTAAAGATCTTTTATAGTCAGTAGTTGTAAGGGTTTGGAGCTTACAGGAAAATGTGAGAGATGAGAGACTTGAGAATCATGCATATAGGTGATTGTTGAAATTGCAGAAATGGTTGAGATTGCCCAAAAGGGAATATAAATAGGAATAGAAGGCTGAGTACGGTGTCCTGGAGGAATGACAACATTTAAGGGCGAGCAGAAGAACTCACAGACTAAGAAGGAACTGTTCAGGAAAGTAAGAGGAGAACTGTGGGAGAGTATTATCAAAGAAGCCAAGGAAAAAGAGCGCTTCAAAAATATCATCTGCTGCATTGAAGTCAGATAACAGGACAGAAAGGAACCTGCTACATTTAGCAGTTAGGAAATCTTTGACACTTTGAAGTAGTGGAAGCAGAAAACTTTGCAGTCATTGAAGAACGAATGAGTGTGAGGAAGTAAAGCTTGGCTGTGAAGAGGAGAAAGAAAAGGTAGCTGGAAAGTGCAGAGCTAGGGGAGGTTTTGTTTATTTTTACAATGAGAGGACTTTGAGTTTTAGGAATGAAGTAGGAAGAGTAGGCTTAGAGAACCGAAATGGCCTGGAAGAGGGTAGTCAAAGGAAGGATTCCTGGTAGTTAACCAAGTCAAATGGGTTCGAGAGTGGGGGGAGAGATTTCTAGGCAGAAGGAATAGCATGTGCAAAGGCTTGGAGAAAGAAGGAAGCATAAGATAGTCAAGAAACTGAAAGAAATTCATTATAGTTAGAATATAGAGGTCTTATTAGAGAATAGGGGAAGGAGATAGAAAGTAGAAGACGATGAGCTAGAGCTAAGTTATGAAGGGTCCTATTTTTTCTTTTTTTTAAAAAAACTGTATGTATGTATGTATGTATGTATGTATGAACGTATGGCTGGGTTTGGTCTTCGTTGCTGCACGTGGGCTTTCTTTAGTTGTGGCGAGTGGGGGCTACTCTTCGTTGCAGTGTACGTGCTTCTCATTGTGGCTTGTCTTTGTTACGGAGCACGGGCTCTAGGCGTGTGGGCTTCAGTAGTTGTGGCACATGGGCTCAGTACTTGTGGCTCGCGGGCTCTAGAGCGCAGGCTCGGTAGTTGTGGCGCACGGGCCTTGTTGCTCTACGGCATGTGAGATCTTCCCGGACCAGGGCTCAAACCCATGTGCCCTGCATTGGCAGGTGGATTCTTAACCACTGCGCCACCAGGGAAGTCCTTCTTTTTCTTCAAAACAAGTTATTTCAGATTTCCTTGTCTACCAACATGATTTGGTGATTGATTGGATGATGGGCGGGTGGGTAGTGTGGATAGAGGTGAAGGAGATGGTAAGAATCAAAGATGATGCAAAACTAATGCCTAGGTTTCTGACTTGGGCAGTGAGATGAATGATGATATCCTTCACTAAGAGACTGTAAGAGTGGTTTTAGATGGAAAAGATGGTGGGTTTAATTTTGAATGTGTTAAGTTTGAGGTGACTCTATCCAAATAGAGTTCTTGAGGTGGGAATTCCATCTATATAGGTCATCTGGACTGACTTTCAGCATATAGATGCTACCTGAGGCCATGGAGAATACATGAGGTACTAGACAAAGTATGTAGACTGAGAAGAGGGTGGGCCTCTGACATTAGCTCTTTCAGGGCGAGCTCAGAGCAAAGGGAACTCACAAAAAGGGAATTCCCAGTAAACATATTGTAGAGTCAGAAAGTTTTTTTAAAATGCAGAGGCTTGGGTTTCCCTGGTGGCGCAGTGGTTGAGAGTCCGCCTGCCAATGCAGGGGACGCGGGTTCGTGCCCCGGTCCGGGAATGATCCCACATGCCGCGGAGCGGCTGGGCCCGTGAGCCATGGCCGCTGAGCCTGCGCATCCGGAGCCTGTGCTCTGCAACGGGAGAGGCCGCAACAGTGAGAGGCCCGCGTACCGCAAAAAAAAAATGCAGAGGCTTTATTTTGTTTTTGGCAATTTTTCCTGTTTATAATATTTGTGTGTATAGTATAGGCCAGAAGTTCTCATGCTTCTTCCTGTTGTATTTATTGTTTGCTTAAATACCAGTTGCATTACTATTTTAGTAAGACAGTCACACAGAGATTTCACATCAGGAAATTCCAGTATTAATAGAATGGGGCTTCATGTGTTGGGTTAAGAAGTTCCATGTCAGATACTTTTCCAGATGTCTGAAATTCCCAAACTAGTTTTATTTTAGCCGTTGTAAAGGGTTGCTTTAAGACTCAGCTGTTACTAGAATAAAGCTTCTGAAAAGATAGATAGGTGCTGTACAGAGATGTGGGGTTGGAAACCTGCCAGAAAATACCTCTCTTTACCACCTGTATTTATTTTATTACCACGTGGCATTTCAGAATTGTTAATTTGTTTGAGTGTTAAAGTTAAAGTGTGCTTGGTTAAATTATTTAAATACTTAGCAGGTAAGAGGCTAAGGTTTTTTTTTTTACTCTTGGGGAATTAGTTGGCAGCTAACTGAAACCCTGTGGGAACGGGACATTATTTATGGGTTCCAATTCAGAATATTCAAAGACAAGGTAGAAGGATATCTGAGTCAGAGTTCACTTCACATTTTGCCGTAGCTGTCCCGGAGTACTAATATGGATTAGATGCTACTGTTGCATGTAGAGTGCTGGACAGCATGCTGCCTTCTAGTATGAGGGAATGTTACAAAAGTGCTTGGTGATGATGCACTCTTGTTTCCTCCCATAGAAATAAAATTTACTTGAATTTGTACTAAAAATAGATCCTTTGGTGAATGTCTGGCAGCATATTAAAGGAATTGGATGTTATTTTTTAAGTAATAATAAAAATTAAACTATTGGCTTGATATATCTTCAGTTTTCTAATTAGAATAGAAATAATTTGGTTGACTATGAGAAGTTGCTAGTAAGCATTTTAATTCAAGAGAAATATAAATGTAAAATCCACAGATTCAGGATGAGCCATGGCTTCACTTACATATAATTTGGTTAAAAATTATCTTATTTGTATAGTAGCTTTGATGTACTCTCTCATGTATTGTAATTATTAAAGAGTAAATAATGTGAAACTTTGCTTTATTCAGCAGACTTAATATTTGAAAAAAAGCACATGAAGTCTTATTTTCCCATGAATGTTCTTATTTTAGATACACATTATCACTTTTTCATTTCTCCCACTGACAGATTTTTTTCCCTCTAGTTTATTAACAACCTATAAATTAACCTTACATTAAATTTGTAAGGTTAGGTGGTTTTTAAAAGAATTTGAGGAAGCCTGTAGGTAATGATAAGGGTAAAGGAAGAAAAAGTGCTTTGGTAAGAAAATATTCTTCACTTCTTATCTCTGCTTAGTAATATCACCTCTTTATAATTTAGAACATATGATATCTGTGAAGTATCTCCTGGGCCCCACTTGAATATGATTATTGGAGCTAATGGAACAGGGAAGTCCAGCATCGTGTGTGCCATTTGCCTTGGATTAGCAGGCAAACCTGCTTTCATGGGACGGGCAGATAAGGTGAGTTAACATATGTACTTTTTAACAGAATCCAAAGCCATGAATTGCTTTTAGTAACAAATCAATTTCTATATCTCCATTCCTTGAGTATAGCAAATGTGTTGTGCTTGAATATAAATAATGAAGTTGGCAGGGACACTGTGGGGAGATTTCCATTTCCAGAAGTAGTGTGCACTATATACCTAGAGAATTCTCCAAGTATGTAACGCCTGCAACCTTAGAAATAATGTAAAATATATCTTTTTAAATGTATTTCTGGGGTTGTGGAAAGGTGAAGTAAGTTTACAAAGGGCACAAACAAAGTAGTTTGGATCTAAAGATTTCTACAAGCTCTGGGGTTGTTTACCCAGGGGCATTTGCTTTACCTTGCACCCTAAAGCCTGGCTTTGAATTGGTTGCATAGGATTGGGGGTCCTGAAGGTGCAGAAGGGTTAGAAGATAAAACTAGAAGCCAAGCACTGCATGTAGCAGAAGAAAAAAAAAATCACAAAGTGGGACAGTGAGGTTACTTATCTCATTGTTAGCTCTGAATACAGTAGATAAAAAATGAAAATCTTACAAACAAGTCTTATCACATACATTGTAATTTTAGTTTAAAGTGGTCCCAGTTAGTAACATCTCTCTTCAGGCAGAAGCAAATGCAAATCCTCTGAAGGAAAATATCCTCAATCCAGTCCTCAACATAAAGCTCTAAGAAATTCATGAATCCATACCTAAAAAAATCACAAAGCATAGGAGGAAATGAATCACCAAAAATGAGAGCTAACAAAAACAACAGACTATACAATCAGACCTACAAAGCTTGTAGATACAGAATGTAAACTAGGAATACTTAATTTATTTAAGGAACTGAAGAAGGTTGCAAGTATAACAAAAGAATAAGTAACAAAAAAGATCAGGTAAATTTGAAAAATTTGATCAGGTAAATTTGAATCAAATAGAACATAAAGAAATAACAGTACATGGGAGGGAAACTTCATGGACAGGTAAAACAACAAAGCAGACATATTTGAGAATTTGTGAACCAAAATACTTGACAGTTTTTCTAAAAATGCAATATAGAGATAAAGTGAGAAAAAAGTGTGAAATAAAGATTGTGACCTGATAGTTAATGGACTAAGGAAGAGGCAATATTCAAGAAAGAATGACTAAGAATTTTCCAGAAATGTTGAAAAACTTGAATCCTCAGATTCAAGATACCTAATATATCCCAGACAGGGTAAATGAAAGAAATACACAAATAGACACATTGTAGTAAATTCCAGAATACCAAACATAGTAGTAATATTGTCTCAGAATGGAAACAGAGGGGGAAAGAAAAGAACAGTTTGAGATGCTCATAAAGGAACTTTGAAAGTATATAATTTAGGAAGAAGGAAAATGATCCCAGAAGGAAGTCTGAGAGGTAAGAAGAAATGGTGAGCAAAAAAATGGTGAACATGTAGGGAAGTAAACTGTGTAAAATAATACTAATGTCTTATTTGTCAAGTTTTTAAATCAAAGAAGATAGTACTACATGTCCTTCCTGGACAACAGGAAGGAAGTGATCAGAGTTGAAGTATTCTTTGAATTTGTATTGTTGGGAGGAAGTTAAGATAATTGGTTAGCTTCAGAGTTTATTAAGCTAAATATGCATGTTAAAATTTCTAGGGTAAGCCAGTAAAAAAATTGAAATATATAATCTCCAAACAAGAAAGGTTAAAGTAGGAAGAGAGAAGTAGAGAAAAAATAACTGCTGCCCAAACAACCCAGAAGGAGTGTCAAGAAAGGAGGAGGAAGAGAAAAGAAAGAGAAATGTAGAAAAGGATATTATTAAAAAACATAAAAAAGATAGTGGAAATACATTCACAATAATAATAAATGCTCTACATTCTTGTTAAATGAGAAAGAGTAGATAAATAAAACAAAGTTCCATTCTGTTTTGTTTACAATAAGCATATCTAAAATAAAAAACTACAGAGAAGTTGAAAGTAAAAGGATGAAAAAATACATACCAGGCAAATATTATACAAAAGAAAGTAGGTGTAGCTGAATTTATACCAGGCAAAATAGAATTTAAAGGAAAAAAGAACTTTTAGAGATAAAGATGGTCATTAAATATTGATGAAAGTTTCAGTTCAGCAAGAAGATAATTCAGCTCCCAACTTAAATTCACATTATCTAGTTCCAAAATATATAAGCACAATCAGAGTTCTTAAAGACAAGTTAACAGCTCCAGAATTATAGTGGAAGAGCTAGTGGTAATCAATAGATCCAATCAGATAAAAAATTAGTAAGAGTATAGAAGGTATGAACAACAGTTAGATTGAACTAATGGACATGTTGTAAACACTGCACTCAACAATTGGTAGAGCATACATTCTTTTTAAGCAGAAATGGAATATTTCTTAAAATTAACCATAAACTGAGCCATAAAGCAATATCAAAAAATATCAAAGAATTGCTACCACATAGACTATGTTCTCTGACCACAGTGCTATTAAGATAGAAATAATAAAGAAGATAACTAAAATTTTCCCATTTGTTCAGAATGAAACATGTACTTCTGTATTATCCACAGGTCAAAGAAGAAATTTTAATAGAAACTGAAAAGTAAGCAGAAATTAATAAAATAATAAACAATGATTCAGTAGGAACCACAAAACTAAAAATTGCTTTTCAAAAATACTATTTAGATCAGTAACTTCTGGGGGCAGGGAGAGAAAGGAAGAAAAAAATATAAGGAATGGCAAAAAGTAATAGTTAAGATATGTTAAATTGTGATCCAGAAAACCCCCAAATTTAAGTGGTTTAAATACACAAAAGATTAATTCTTGCTGCTTATCCAGTGTAGGCCCTTTGTGGTCACTTAGGTACTTTAGCCTTATAGAATCTTCATTTCAGTATATACAGTTTACCCTTGAAGAATGCAGGTTTGAACTGCGCAGGTCCACTTATATGTGAATATTTTTCAATAGTAAATATATATGTTGCGCTCATATTTCATTGGACAAAGCATGTCATGAAGCCATAACTTGGATCAGAGAGAAAGAGCAAGTGCAGTCGTTTGCTTGAAAGGAGAATCAGAATATTCACGAACTGCCCTGATGACTACCACGAGGGTGTTACAAGAATGCAGCAGAGGTTTGAAAGATTATATAAGAATATTATGAGAATCATTATGCCACTCAAGTTTAAATTTTTAAAAAGTTGTAACTATAAATGTTTCTACAACTACTTAAATTATCAAAACTGACTAAGTAGAAAAGATAAATTAGCTGGTAAATTTTTTCTCATAGAGAAAGACAAAGACAATTGTGGATTAGTCCTAATAGCAGTAAGTTTCTATTTTACACAGAGAATGTGACCCTAGGTACCCAAATCAATCAAGGATAGAATGAAAAAATTACAAGCCTGTCTCACTCATGAATCTAGAAGCAAAAATCACACACAAAAAAGAAACTGTAGCATTTTGAATTTAATAATACATAACACATCATGACCAAATTGAATTTATTCAAGGAGTGAGAGATGTATTATATTAATTTTTTCCTAAGAATCAACCACATTTTAAAGGAGAAGAACTCTATGGTCATCTTAATAGATAGAGAAAAAGCATTCAGTTAAATTCCACAGTAATGTATGATTAAAAGCTCTTAGCAAACTAGGAATAGAAGGGACCTTTATTAATTTCACAAAAGATATCTATGAAAATGTACAGCAAGTTCAGGAGCAAGTCAAGGTTGCCTACTACCATTACTATTGAACATTGTACTGGCAGTTCTAGGTAAAACAGAAAAGATACATGTTGGAAAGAAAGAAAACTGTCTTTCACAGATTATGTGAGTGTCTGCATAAAAACCACAAAGAAACTCCAGATAAGCCTCCTGATGGATCAATATGCAAATTTATCAGGATTACTAGATATAAGATTGTATAACCCAGACACTGACTCTGTAGGCACCTTGATCTTGGACTTCCTAACCTTCAGATTTGTGAGAAATAAATGTTAAAGCCACCCAGCCTGTGGTATTTTTTTTTATAGAAGCCCAGACTAAGGCAAGGACCTTTTTACATTCTTTAACTTACTGAGGACTCCAAAACCTTTTGTTTCTGTGAGTTATATCTATTGATTAGAATTAATAATAAACTTAGGGTTTCCCTGGTGGCGCAGTGGTTGAGAGTCCGCCTGCCGATGCAGGGGACACGGGTTCGTGCCCCGGTCTGGGAAGATCCCACATGCTGTGGAGCGGCTGGGCCCGTGAGCCATGGCCGCTGAGCCTGTGCGTCCGGAGCCTGTGCTCCGCAACGGGAGAGGCCACAGCAGTGAGAGGCCCGTGTACCGCAAGAACAAAAACAAAAACAATAATAAACTTAAAAATAATTATCAGATTAGAAATAAAAACTGAGACCCTGCTAAAAAAAGTTGTATAACAAAAATCAATTGCATTTCTATATACTAAAAAGACCAGAAAATGCATTTAAAAATGGACATTACAGCCACAAAAGTACAAGTTTCATAGCAGTAAATTAATAAAAGATGTGTAAGACCTATATGCAGAAATTACAATTTTTATTTAAAAACATTGAAGTTTAGAGAGATGCACTGTATTAATGGACAAGAAGATCTAATATAAAAATGTCATTCTTCTACATATTCAGTGTCATTCCAGTCAAAATCCCTATACTGTCTATATAAATTACAAGCTGACTCTAAATTTTAGGTGGAAGAATAAAGGGCCAGAAATAGCTAAGATACTTCTAAAGAAATAGGACAAAATGGAAAAACTTGCCTATCAGATATCAAGACAATACAAAATTACAGTAAATTAAGACATTGTGGTATTGGTGTAGGATAGACTAGTGTGATGTGACAGAATAAAGAGCCCAGATACAAAGCCATGATTAGTAAAAACTTGATTTATGACAGAACTGACATTGTGGATGAGTGGGGAAGAGATGAATAAATACTACTGAGGCAATTGCTTATTGGTATAGGAAAAAATGAAATTGAGTCCTTTCTTCACACTATAACAAAAATCAGTTCCAGGTATATTAAAGATCTAAATGTGATTGAACAGAAAGTTTCTGGAAAAGATTGGTAGTCGAAGAAAATATCCTTGTGACTTCAGATTAAAGAAGAATTTCTTAAATAAAAATATAGACTGCAAAGGAAAGGTTGATAAATTCAACTACAGTAAAATTAAGGAACTTTTGTTCATCAAAAGACACCTTGTAGAGAAAAGACTAGTCACAAATGAGAGAAGGTATATATATAGCACATATAACAAGATTGGTATCCAGACTACATAATCAAAATAATGGCAACTCAGAAGATAAATGAGCAAAAGATATGCTCAGATGTCTCACAGAAGAGGCATCCCAAACAGCCAGTAAATACATGAAAATATGCTCAGCTTCATTAATTATCAGAGAAACGAATTAACCCTGGCATGGTGTATCCATTAGACCCACAAAAATTCTTGTGGTGCCATGTGGCTTATAAGGATATAAAGCAGTGGGAACTCTGATACATTCTTGGTGGGAATATGAATTTGTACAACCCCCTTGGAAAATATGGCATTACCTAGTAAATCTGTAAATGCCTATATCCAGTCCCTCAAAAATTCTACTTCTAGGTACCTTAGTAAGCTTGTGTCCATTTATACTAGGTGAAATTATGGAAATATTTATAGAAACATTGTTTGCAATAAATTATAGTATAGTCAAATAAAATTGAATATTATATGACAGTAAAAGCAAACTTTGGCTCATTGGTTAAATCTCAAAAACAGAATTTTAAGGAAAAATGCCATCACAGAAAAATACATGTAATGTGAATTTTTTTCTGGAATGATCAAATATATATATAATATATATTTAATATTTGGAGATTTATACAGTAAAAATAAAAGCAAAAGAATTATCAGCAAATCAATTTAGAGATTACATTTGTTGAGAGAGAAGGACATAACTGGCGTGAATTAAGGAATGTCAGATACACTGGTAGTGAACAGTTCCTTAAATAGGTAGATACCTGGTTGTTTTGTTATTTCTTAAACAGTGCATAAAGTTCATATTTACTGTGTGGTATGTATTTCACATAAAAACATGTTTTAAAAAGAAAGTCTAGGGGCTTCCCTGGTGGCATGGTAGTTAAGAATCCGCCTGCCAATGCAAGGGACATGGGTTCGAGCCCTGGTCCGGGAAGATCCCACATGCCGCGGAGCAACTAAGCCCGTGCGCCACAACTACTGAGCTTACATGCCACAACTACTGAAGCCCGCGCGCCTAGAGCCTGTGCTCCACAACGAGAGAAGCCACCGCAATGAGAAGCCCACACACCGCAACAAAGAGTAGCCCCTGCTCACCACAACTAGCGAAAGCCCATGCGCAGCAACAAAGACCCAAAGCAACCAAAAATAAATAAAATAATTTTTTTTAAAAAGTCTAAAAGTTGACTTGTTACTTCACTGTAAAATATTTTTTAAACTTGAAGTGATTCATTTTTCTAAAACTGTTGTAAATATTACGATATTATCAAAATGATATTACAGGTTTCTTAGCCAGGCTTAAAATTTAATGTAGGTTACAAGATTGAGTTTTACACCCCTTATGATTATAAATAACCTATTCAAAATATGATTTTTTAATGCTCTGTGGGAGGCATTTATGAGGTAGAAAAGATACTGCTTTATTAATGATTGGCTTTGTAACCTTAGTCATTTGTCTGGAGCTCAGTTTTTCTTTATTTCAAAGAACGGGTTGGGGTAGATAATTTCCAAGGACCCACTCAGATTTTTATAAATATTGATACGTAGTTTTGTCTGTTTTGTGACCACACTGCCCACTGCTCGGCTTGTGGGATTTTAGTTCCCTGACCAGGGATCGAACCCCGGCTGTTGGCAGTGAAAGCACGGAGTCCTAACCACTGGACTGCCAGGGAATTCCTGATATGTAATTTTCAGAAATCATTTATTAAATCCTTATCTCTGTGTAATGGTCTGCTGGATTGTACTCCAAGGGCTGTATGGTCAGAATGGATTGGGCTGTAACAGTGTTCACCAATCTTCCTATTTATTTGTGTCATAAAGAAGACACATCTCTCCTCACCCTTGAGTGGTAGACTTTTTAAAGGAAGCTGTGGAGCGCAGTGCAGTGTTTCTTAGATGACAGATTGCAGACCTTGTGTTTAGGGGATGTCCAAGTTCTTAGCAAAAAAACCTTTTTAATGTTGTATTTCTATTTAAATGCTAACATAAAAATTTAGTACAAGCATGTTCTGTACCACCTGTATGGATACTTTATAATAAAAACTTCCTCCTGATCTTTTCTTCCATTTGGTACGAAGTATTTTAATTGTTGCAAGCTAATGAGTAGATGACCCACTCCTACAAAAATGCCACTGTTTTCCCTATCTATGAAGAAACTGAAACAGAGGCTAAGTAACCTGGTTAAGGTCAAACAGCTTGTATATGGCAGACTTGAGATTTGAACTAGACACGGTAAAGCCTGTACTCTTGATCATTAAGCTGTACTTTCTTGTTACAGGAACAGGCTTTTTCATATTTCTGGGTTTCACTTTCATAATCTATAAAATGGATATAACATATAGCTCATAACTTTGCTCATGAGTATTAAATGAGAAAATTGTATATAAAGTGCTTAGCACAGAAACATTTAGTAATGCTTAATAAATGTTAACTGTTGTGGTTATAATTGTCATCATCACTATTAAAAAGACAATTATTTGCAAGGTGCAGTTTTTGCCTTTTTTTAAGTATTACTTACAGCCTAATTTAAGATCCAATCTGATTTTTTTAGGCCCAGGGTCTTTTTTCATACTTATGCTCAAATATATAGAAACTAGCTTAAATATGTCTATTATACTATATAAATTGTACTTACTTAAATTGTATTTACTACATGTATTGCTCTTTTTTTTAAGTGCTGGGTGGTAGGTGTATCCTAATTAATAACAGGATGAGTACTTTTAGAGTGATTGTTAATAACATTTAATCTGTGCAACTCCATAGAAGTACCCAGGGTCTGGAGCTGGGCTACCTGGGCTCAGATCCTTGCTCTGCACTGCTTACTGGCTCTGTCATGAACTTTGTAAGAGGCTATTAGGCACATAGAAGGTTCAATAAATGGTAACTTAGATGATTACTATCTGTGAGTGGAACCAATGGAGGAGTCTAAATCTGGGAAGGGTACAATTAGAAAGTGATGGGAATGAATGTACAGAGTAGTTATTGAAAGAATCTGACAAATAATGATGACTTTGCTAAATCGCTCATTGTTAACCTGGGAATGTCATCACACAGCTCACTTTGTCTTTCTTATATCTTAGGTTGGCTTTTTTGTGAAGAGAGGATGTTCCAAAGGCATGGTTGAAATTGAATTGTAAGTGTTAAAAGTGCTAAAACCACATTTTCCTACATAATTTCTTAGTTTATGTTTATGCTTTCCTGATGACTTTAGTCAAGAGTAATAATATAGTATTGTGGCATAGATATTGGAAATAATATTTAAGGGATACTTTATCTAGAGAGGTAAGGTGTTTTTTGTTTTGTTTTTTTTTAATGCATCTTTTTTTAAAAAATATTTATTTATTTATTATTTATTTGGGTTGTGCCGGGTCTTAGTTGCGGCAGGCGGGTTCCTTAGTTGTGGCATTTGGACTCTTAGTTGCGGCGTGCATGTGGGATCTAGTACCCCGACCGGTGGTTGAATCCTCGCCCCCTGCATTGGGAGCATAGAGTCTAAGCCACTGCGTCACCAGGGAAGTCCCTTAATGCATCTTTTAAAACCTGAATTGTAAGAACTTTCTTCTGGAAAAATTCTTAAGGAAATTAGAAATTTATGGGAGATAATGAAATAGAAATATACCACTATTAAATATTCATTAAGAAGTTGCAGTATTTTTTATAAACTTAAGCTTTCTTTTTTCTGATTTTGAAAGCAAAATATTTGCTTGTTTAAAAAAATGCAAACAATGTAGGAGTGTAAAAAGATGAAAGCCTTCTTGCCATAATTCCACTTCCAGAAACGACCACTGTTAGTAGTTTGGTGAACTTCATGTATGGCAGATACTTGGCATTTATGTCACCATTTTCCATTCCCTCCCTCGTGGTAGAAATTGATAATTCATTATGGTGTTCTTTTCCCTTAAACCTAGATGTTCTGAGTTTACCACTCTTGGCAGCCATTTCTGATGGATGAGAGTTACTCTTCAAGATGAAACCAGTTGACCATCCTTGGTGCAGATACTTTGTCTTTTATATATGAATATGCACATCCTTTAGGTGATTTTTAGAGTGTTGTTTTTTGGAGTGTTTATAGAAAGTTATTGAATTTTCTTAGCTGAAATAGCTCTTAAAGATTATCTAATACTTTATTTTATAGGAAATGAGGAAGTGATCTTTATTCAAAAATTGTTGAAAATTTAAAAAAAATTGTTGAAAATTTTAGAATTTATGTAGAGATGAGAAATAGGCACACATGGAAGAAAACAGTTAAAGAGGTTATGCTCAACTTATTAAAATATAATGGTGGTATTTTACTGAAGGATACAATACCAAGACCTGAATAAATGGAGAAGCATATTATGTTCTAAAAATATAAATTTGTAGTCACCATTAACATGTCAGTCCTTTCCAAGCTAATGTATAAATCTGATATAATTCCAATAAGAGTCTCAACAGGTAAATTTATAAGTTGATTATAAAGTTCATCGGGAGGAATAAACCCAAGAGGTCTTGAAAAGTAGAATCATGAATAAGACATTTATGTAACAGATGTTAAAGTGTAAAATAAGCCTTTTCTTAAAATTTAATTTTTCTTTTATATTGGAGTATAGTTGATTTACAGTGTTGTGTTAGTTTCAGGTATATAGCTAAGTCATTGTTATACACATATCCATTTTTTTTCAGATTCTTTTCCCGTATAGGTTATTACAGAATATTGAGTAGAGTTCCCTGTGCTATAGAGTAGGTCCCTGTTGATTATCTGTTTTATATATAGTAGTGTGTATATGTTAATCCCAAACTCCTAATTTATCTCTTTCCAAGTCCCCCACCCCTACCCCACAATCCCAAGTCTGCTTTCGAAATCTGAGTCTGTTTCTGTTTTGCAAATAAGTTCATTTGTATCATTTTTTTTTAGATTCCACATGAAAGTGATATATGATATTTGTCTTTCTCTGTCTGACTTACTTCACTTAGTATGATTATCTCTAGGTGCATCCATGTTGCTGCAAATGGTATTATTTTATTCTTTTTTATGGCTGAGTAATGTTCCATTGCATATACGTACCACATCTTCTTTATCCATTTCTCTGTCAATGGACATTTAGGTCGCTTCCATGTCTTGGCTATTGTAAATAGTGCTGCAGTGAACATTGGGGTGCATGTATCTTTTCAAATATGCATGTATGGTTTTCTCTGGATATATGCCCAAGAGTGGGATGTATGGTAATTGTTGGAACATATGGTAATTCTATTTTTAGTTTCTTAAGGAACCTCCGTACTGTTCTCCATAGTGGTTGTACCAATTTACGTTCCCACCAACAGTGTAGGAGGGTTCCCTATTCTCCACACCCTCTCCAGCATTTATTGTTTGTAGACTTTTTGATGACGGCCATTCTGACCCGTGTGAAGTGATAGATACCTCATTGTAGTTTTGATTTGCATTTCTCTAATAATTAGTGATGTTGAGCTCTTTTCATGTGCTTTTTGACCATCTGTATGTCTTCTTTGGAGAAATGTGTATTTGGACCTTCTGCCCATATTTTGATTGGGTTGGTTGTTTTTTTGATATAGAACTGCATGAGCTGTTTGTGTATTTTGGAGATTAATCCCTTGTTGGTTGCTTTGTTTGCATATATTTTCTTCCATTCTGGGGGTTGTCCTTTCGTTTTGTTTATGGTTTCCTTTGCTGTGCAAAAGCTTTTAAGTTTAATTAGGTCCCATTTGTTTATTTTTGGTTTTATTTTCATTACTCTAGGAGGTGGGTCCAGAAAAGATACTGCTGTGATTTATGTCATAGAGTGTTCTGCCTATGTTTTCCTCTAAGAATTTTATAGTATCCGGCCTTACATTTAGGTCTTTAATCCATTTTGAGTTTATTTTTGTGTATGGTGTTAGAGAATGTCCTGATTTCATTCTTTCACATGTGGCTGTCTAGTTAATAAAGCTGTTAATAGTATGGAATTCGTACAGAAAATTAGAGGAGCAGAATGGAGAAAATAGGAACAGTTCTAAATGTATATAAGAATTTTTTTTTGAATTTTATTTATTTTTTTATACAGCAGGTTCTTATTAGTTATCCATTTTATACATATTAGCATATATATGTCAATCCCAATCTCCCAATCCATCCCACCCCCACCACCACCACCACCACTTTCCCCCCTTGGTGTCCATACGTTTGTTCTCTGCATCTGTGTCTCAATGTCTGCCCTGCAAACCGGTTCATCTGTACCATTCTCTAGGCTCCACATATATGCATTAATATACGATATTTGTTTTTCTCTTTCTGACTTACTTCACTCTGTATGACAGTCTCTAGATCCATCCACGTCTCTACAAATGACCCAATTTCGTTCCTTTTTATGGCTGAGTAATATTCCATTGTGTATATGTACCACATCTTCTTTATCCATTCATCTGTCAATGGGCATTTAGGTTGCTTCCATGTTCTGGCTATTGTAAATAGTGCTGCAATGAACATTGGGGTGCATGTGTCTTTTTGAGTTACGGTTTTCTCTGGGTTTATGCCCAGTAGTGGGATTGCTGGGTCGTATGGTAGTTCTATTTTTAGTTTTTTAAGGAACTTCCATACTGTTTTCCATACTGGTTGTATCAATTTACATTCCCACCAGCAGTACAGGAGGGTTCCCTTTTCACCACGCCCTTTCCAGCATTTATTGTTTCTAGGTTTTTTGATAATGACCATTCTGACCGGTGTGAGGTGATACCTCATTGTAGTGTTGATTTGCATTTCTCTAATAATTAGTGATGTTGAGCAGCTTTTCATGTGCTTCTTGGCTATCTATATGACTTCTTTGGAGAAATGTCTGTTTAGGTCTTCTGCCCATTTTTGGATTGGGTTGTTTGTTTTTTTAATATTGAGCTGCATGAGCTGTTTATATATTTTGGAGATTAATCCTTTGTCCGTTCATTCATTTGCAAATATTTTCTCCCATTCTGAGGGTTGTCTTTTTGTCTTGTTTGTAGTTTCCTTTGCTGCACAGAAACTTTTAAGTTTCATTAGGTCCCATTTGTTTATTTTTGTTTTTATTTCCATTACTCTAGGAGGTGGATCAAAAAAGATCTTGCTGTGATTTATGTCAAAGAGTGTTCTTCCTATGTTTTCCTCATAAAAATGTAATTTATTGTAAAGGTGGCAATTTAAGCATCGGGTATAAATTACTCAAATTGAGTTGAAATAATTAGCTGTTAATATTTAAAATGGATAAATATAGAGCTTTATTAGCCACCCTGTACATCAATAAAATCTCGATGTGTTAAAGGCTGAGTGAAAAAAATATGTAACTTTGAAAATGATAGGAAAAAATGTAGAATATCTCAGGAAAGGGAGAGGCCTTTCTAAGTAGAACAGAATAGCCAATAACAATATAAAGGAAGATAGGAAGAGCTCTAAGGAAGAGAAGGCTTTGATGACTGGAACTACACGGCCTCTGCCAAATCACGAGGAAAGCTAGGCTGAGAACAGCAGGTCTCCACTTGAGATAGGCTGGGTACCTGGGACCCTTTACCAGAGCACTTGAACCTGGACAAACTTCCCCTGAAGCAACAGAATACAAAGAAACTGTAAGGGACTAAAAATAACTGCACACATGGCAGTTGGGGCAGTTATGAACAATAAGATACAAAAAAGCCACAAACCAGTTGAGGTGCCAGGAGCAAAAGCAGGGCACTGTGCATAATCGCTGCACAAAGCACCACCACAGCAGTGGACAGGTTACCTAAGCTGTACCTCCTGCCCAACCCACGTACCTGCCCCTGTTGTTACCCATTTTAAGGACCCAAGCAGCTCCTCTTGTGGAGTGAGCATGGGCACCTGACTCTTGTTTTCACCCCCTTATGCTGCAGCATTAGACCCAATAAAGCCTTGCCTCGAAAAAAATAAACAAATAAAGGAAAATAAGAAGTTTAGGCTCCATAGAAATGTAGCTAAATATAATGGTGCCATAGTTAAAAATGAGTGACAGATGGGAGGAAACATTTTCAGTACAGATAGCATGTACATACATGTCTCAAAATTATCAAAATACCAATGTTTCATCAAGTCAGTAAAAATTATAAACCACTTAATAGAAAATAAGCAAAGAAATTTAATGCAAAGTAAATGGCCAGTAAATATATAAAGAGGCTACACCT